TAATTAAAATCATGATTATTATCATTATCATCATTATTATCAACGCTATTACCATAACAAAAAAACAACAACACAACACAGACAACAATAAAAGTAAAAACAATGAATAATGAGAACATTAACGTCCAAAAATAACAATATAACAAATAATATAAGTGACAACAGTAACTTTACATTACATAAACGCTCCCTAACCCACTCACGGACGCAGATACGGAAACCCGGCCAGCACCTGCAAGCACAAACACAAGCAGAGGGCGATGCAGTGGAGAGCGCTTGAATGGGACGTGAATCAGCACTTGGAACATTAGGAAGGAGTGAACAAATCCGGATATGGAGGTTAAAACGAGGGTCGGAGTGAGATTAATGAGGAGACTGCGTGAGGAGAACATGCCGAGAAACTAAAGTGGGTTGTATCAAAAAATAGAAGAAAAATAACAAGGTGATGCTGATTCAAAAAGATGAAAGTGATAGTGATATAAAACTAGACAAGGTGGTGGTGACGAAAAATTGAACATGGTTATAGAGACAAAAAGTTAACATGGTTATAGTTACAAAAACTAAAGAAAGTTATAGTGACGAAAAACTAAGCAAGGTGATGTGACAATAAACTAAACTATAGTGACAAAACAAGGTTATTGTGACAAAAACTAAACAAGGTTATAGTGATAAACTATACAAGAGTATGGTGACAAAAATACTAAGCAAGCTAAGTCACAAAAAAATAGACTAAAAGTAATGACAAAACACTGAGCAAAGTGTTAGTGAAAAATCCAACAGTCGTTATCGCTGCAATACGTACCCCAGCTGAGCAGTCCGAGAGGGCCTGGGTTCTCCCGCTTGCCCAGCTGGCGGCGGAAGGCAGAGGGGCGTCCTCTTGGGCAACGCAGGACGGGACCCAAATGCCAAAGAACCAACAAACAGCAGTGGCAGAATGGATAAGGTGGACATCATGTTCGTCTGTGATGAGTGTGTTGGGCGTTATGAGAGAAGTGGAAAATTATATTAGATGTAAAACGGAAGTGACTGGCAATGGGGGCCGTACTTTGGGGTGTCCAACTCCCTCATTTGGGAAGAATTAAAACGGGAATTGACAATTGGCTCTATGTATCCAGTGCGCTAAGGTTAAAGTCGTCTACCGCAGTGAGGAAGCATTGCCATTCTTCATATTTATATTATTAAGGAACAGTACATTTATTGTGTGAAATAAAAAAATGTTTTTATACCCTCTTTCCTTCTATGTTGAGAATCCTCCCCGCGGCCCTATTAACAATGCATGACATTATTGTTTCATCTTATGCAACACTCACTAGCTGATACTGTATAAGTGAACGCCTTGTTAATCTAATAATTGAGATGATAAGAGACAAAAGATGCCGGCAGATTATGCAGCTTTTTTTTTAGCTCTCTGACACTCTTTCGTGTTTAAAGGGGCGGGTCTCTCGCTGTCACACAACAGTTATCTTTGATTTTACTTTCATATCGTCCACAATTCCTGCCACCGAATACATCTTCGGAATATTTATTAAAGAACAGATTAACCATGGCGATTATAGTGACATGAAAATATAGACAAATGATATAGGCCTTTTGAGGCGATTGAGAAAAATTGCCAAAGAACAACAGTGAAGAGATCTAATGATTCTTACTCGTCAAAAGATCATTGGGTATACTTGTAAATATCGAGGAAAGTAAAGGGAGAAGATATAAGAGAAAAAGACACACACACGCACAGAGAGAGAGAGAGAGAGAGAGAGAGAGAGAGAGAGAGAGAGAGAGAGAGAGAGAGAGAGAGAGAGAGAGAGAGAGAGAGAGAGAGAGAGAGAGAGAGAGACAGAAGAGAGAGAGAGAGAGAGAGAGAGAGAGAGAGAGAGAGAGAGAGAGAGAGAGAGAGAGAGAGAGAGAGAGAGAGAGAGAGAGAAGAGAGAAGAGAGAGAGAGAGAGACGAGAGAGAGAGAGAGAAGAGAGAGAGAGAGAGAAGACAAAGAGAGAGAGAAAGAAACAGAGACAGAAGACAGAGAAAGAGAGCTGAGAGAGAGAGACAGATAGATAAACAGAGAGAGAGCGTGAAGCTAAGAAATAGAGAGAAATAAATATAGAAATAGAGAGAGATACAGAGAGAGGGGGAGATAGAAAAAGAGGAAAGTAGAGAAAGATTTAAGACAAAAAGACAGAGAGAGAGAGGGGGTGGAGAAAGAGAAGAAAGAGAAAGAAACAGAGAGAGAGAGAGAGAGAGAGAGAGAAGGGATCATCAACCCCTCACCTTACTGTCGCCTCTAAAGCATCAAGCACACGCCACACATCTTCGCGCTGTGGAGCCCACGCAAAGCAAGACAGAAACCAAGCAACTGCACTTTTTGTGGTAAAACGACGCAAATCTAACTAAAACAAGTGTTCTTAACATTGGTATGCGGTGATGGTTGAGGAAATAGTGCTCACGGAGGCAAAGAATAACAAAGGAGGATAACAAAAATCGCGATAACGGAGAACACAGCAATGC